GGGGGGGTGGACGGGGACGGGGGGACAACGAGGGACCGAAGGAGGAAGGAGAGGAAGGAAAGAACAGTTCTCTGTCAAACACAAACTAAAAATAAAGTCAGGTCTGGATCTGGACCAAAGATCTAGACCAAAGGTCCTGGCCCAAAGGTCTGGACCAAAGATCTAGACCAAAGGTCCTGGCCCAAAGGTCTGGACCAAAGATCTGGACCAAAGATCTGGACCAAAGGACCTGGACCAAAGGTCTGGACCAAAGATCTAGACCAAAGGTCCTGGACCAAAAAGGTCCTGGACTAAAGATCTGGACCAAAGATCTGGACCAAAGGTCCTGGACCAAAGGTCTGGACCAAAGATCTGGATCTGGACCAAAGATCTGGACCAAAGATCTGGATCTGGACCAAAGGTCTGGATCTGGACCAAAGATCTGGACCAAAGGTCCTGGACATCGTGTGTGTGTGTGTGTGTGTGTGTGTTAGGTGGACATTGACCTTTGTGTCTGATGAGGTATCTGCCAAGGACGATGAGGAGGCAGAGCAGGATGAAGACGATCACGGCCACCACACCTCCAATCACAGCGTGGTCCACCCCCGAAGACGCCAACATGGCCGTCGGGTCTGACAGAGAGAGAATAAAGAGAGCAGGAAAAATGTGAGACCCAGTGAGACACGAAGGGCAGAGTTCCCTGCAGCAGGTTTGTTCTCCTCACCCACTGAACCTCCCCCTCAAAAACATGTCCGTTCACTCCATCTCTGACACAGTCAGTCAGTACCCACCACGACCTGCAGGAGGCGCCAGTGCCTTGAATTCAATGTCAGTGAAAAAAAACCCTCCATGAATGGCAGCTACATCATGTAAACAGCTGACGTGGACGTGGTGGGCGGAGCCAAAGTCACTTCAGTTTCAGGGTAAAGATGCAGGAACCAGAGGTTGAGAACCGGCCGTCCTGCTCTGACCAATCCTAATGTTTTCATTAGCATCTAATTAGCATACGGTACGTTTGTCATGAAGGCCGTACAGAGGGTGGTCCTCAGGGTCAGCAGGGGTCAAAGGTCAAACGTGAAATAAAAGCACGGAACAAAACAACAACCAACCAGAGGCCAGGAAGGAGAGGAAAGGGGGGGGGACTCTCAGCACCGGTCAATGACAACCTCACACACACATACACACACGCAGTGGCCACTGTGGAGGTGAGGGGGGCCGGGGGGGGGGGTGCTGACGAGGCGAGACTGAGAATGAGCTCATAAATCCTGCTGACAGAATCAAAGAGAAACAGACAAGAACCAAGAAGACCTGACACACACACACACACACACACACACAGGCGTGTTAGACACTCTGTAAATGACTTCAACCACTTAAGAGGTCACACTGGTGAGAGAACGAGACGGTGTGTGTGTGTGTGAATATTTAAAGGGAAAAACAAGAAGAAACAAGAAAAACAAACGTCAACATTTCTTTCCTTCTACGTCTCTTGAGGACGGTGACTTTTTCTGTGACTTTTTTCCCCCAGTAAAACAACAAACACAAACAGTTTATGAGAGAGAGAGAGAGAGAGAGAGAGAGAGGGAGAGATGAAACCATCAGGTGAGTCAGAAGAAACGATGACAGATGAAAGAGATAATACCTGAGGTGGAGTCTGCAGCATCTGGATGGATGAGATGGATGGATGGAATGGATGGATGAAATGGATGGATGGATGAAATGGATGGATGAAATGGATGGATGGATGGATGGGGATTGTTAGGAATATTTGAAGGGAAAAACAAGAAGAAACAAGAAAAACAAACGTCAACATTTCTTTCCTTCTACGTCTCTTGAGGACGGTGACTTTTTCTGTGACTTTTTTCCGTGACTTCATTTTTAAAAACTCTAACAAATGTGACCTCACATTCTGGACCTGACGCATCACATGATAAGGTTAGCCGCCCGTGCGACAGCGAGGTTGTTCAAACCGTGGCTCCTTGTTCTCACCGTTGTTACATTGAAAAACTACAAGGTCGTGGTTTGGTTTTTTTTTTCCTTTTTTTTCAGTTAAATGGATGAAATGAATGGATGGATGGATGGGGATTGTTAGGAATATTTAAAGGGAAAAACAAGAAGAAACAAGAAAAACAAACGTCAACATTTCTTTCCATCTACGTCTCTTGAGGACGGTGACTTTTTCTGTGACTTTTTTCCGTGACTTTTTTCCCGTGACTTTTTTCTGTGACTTCATTTTTAAAAACTCTAACAAATGTGACCTCACATTCTGGACCTGACGCATCACATGATAAGGTTAGCCGCCCGTGCGACAGCGAGGTTGTTCAAACCGTGGCTCCTTGTTCTCACCGTTGTTACATTGAAAAACTACAAGGTCGTGGTTTGGTTTTTTTTTTCCTTTTTTTTCAGTTTTTTCCAGATTGCAGAAAGGACACATTTTGCTCTAACTCAGGGATTCTTCGACTGCTCTGCAGAGCAAGCACAATCCACGGGTGGAGGGAAGGTCCGAGCAGGAGTCCTAACACCACCTCCTCCTCCTCCTCCTCCCCCTCCCCCCCCCCCCCCCTCCGCCCCCCCTTCCGCCCCCCTCTCGCCTTTATAAACCTGTGTGTTTGCAGATGTGTGAGACTGAGGTGTTTTTACCTGTGGGGCCGTACACTCCATTCAGCTGGACTGAAACTGGGGGGGTGGGGGAGGGAGGGGAGGAGGAGGAGGGAGCGGAGGAGGAGGTGGTGGTAGCAGAGGGTGGGGTGCTGGCGGAGGAAGAGGAGGTGGAGGAAGAAGAGGAGGTGGAGGCAGTAGTTATAGCTGAAGAGGAGGAGGAGGAGAATGTTTGGTCAGGAAAGAGAGCGTTGGAGAGGGTAGGGGAGGGGGTGAGGAGAAAAAGGTGTAGATGTTGGAGAGTTGGTGGAGGAGGTCAGCATGGTCTCCACTGTGGTAGGGTCCACAGGGTCTGGGGGGGGGTGGGGGGGGGCGAGCAAAGCGCAATAAAAAGCGACCGTGGAACGATTTACAGGAAACAAAAAGAAACAGGGAAAGAAGCGCAAAAACGAGCGAAGCGGTTGATTGGTCGATTGGTTGGATGGTCGATAGGTTGGTTGCATTGGTGGTAATGGTAGCACGGTAGGATGAAGAAAAAAAAACAGAAATAAAGAAAAGTAAATCAGAAAAGAAAATGATGGAAACAAAAGACGAAGAAATGAAACAGTTGACTTTCACCCTTCATCACCTCCTCACCCTTCATCACCTCCTCACCCTTCACCTCCTCACCCTCTCGCTGCCCCCTCCTCACCCCCTCTGCCCTCGTTACCTTGGACCAGGAGTGCGTACTCTCCCTCGCTGCTGCCGATGCCGTTGTCCGCGTGGCAGAGGTAGACGCCGTTGTCCGATTTGTTCAGCCTCTCGAAGCGCAGGAAGGCGCCGTCAGCTTTGGCCATAGGGGGCAGCAAATCATCCTTTTTCCTCCACAGGTAGGACATGGGCCTGTGAGGGACAGAGATGTCGTGACTCACACGGCAAAACAAACATTTAGAAAACCAACTTCTGGAGAGCGGACCAGTAACAGGTACATTAGTCAAGAAAAATGAGACACACAGAGATGGAAGTTGCACCGACAACCTTTAGTAAGAGGAGGGAACAGAAGCTCAGGACAAAGAGGGGGGGGTCAAACCTGTAATCATCATCATCATCAGCACTCTTTGTTCCAACACCTGGAATTAACCGAACACTTAGCTCCACGACCGCGGCGGCGCCAACGTTATTGAACGTGACGTTGAAAAGGTATTTCCGGCATCGAACCTTCCCACCCGCCGCTTCCTGCCGTTTCTGTTTTATGCTAGCAGCTCTGCTGGTGTGGAAACGTTTCAATCGGTGCGCACGCGTCACTGAGCACTTCACAGAAGTCACGGCACGCTTCGAGACACTCGTTACTGTAATTACCGGCTCTGAGGGCCTTCGTCCTCCTCCTCCTCCTCCTCCTCCTCACAGCTGGAGTTATTATCAAGGCTAAAAAAAAAATAGACTTTCTGTGTCGCCGCTAAATTATGAAAACAAA